AGCTTCGGCTCTTCACGGTTGTCTCGATGAAGGAAGATGCTGGCGAGGTGCGCGGAGCAACGATGCACGTTGTGTCTCATCAATGCAGTAGATTGCGGCGCGCCTCGCCGACTTTTTAGAAGGGGTCCGCATTGAAGCAGAGGTCCACGTCGTGCCACTGCGGAATGCAACGATCTCGTCGCTCCTCATCAAGCGCACCAAGGACGAGTTGCTGAAGAAGAAGGAGGCGCTCGCCGCCATGAAGGTACACAGCATAAACACACACATAGGACAGAGCTCCCACATCGCGTAGGTGACGACCATGTCTTTCGCCATCCGCGACGGCTACGAGCAGCTCGTGGACGACCTCAGCGACGTGGGCACGGCCATCGACGACGACGAGCGGTCCAAGCGCTTTGCTGCGTCGCTACCACCAACCTCGTCCGACACGCGCCTGATGCACGCCCAGCTCATGAACCAGCACATGCTCGTTCGTTTTCATCGAAGAGGGTGCCGAGAGGATGTTGACGACGCGTAGGAGCACTCGGGCGATGCATCGCTCGTCGTGGTGAACCTCCCGCGCCTCATCGGCGTCCCTGCACTCTCCTGTACGAGTTTCTTCTCGCATCAAGGCATCACCCCCTTGCATGTCTAGTTGTGACGTACGTTGAAGCGCTGACACAGCACCTACCGGCGGTGCTACTCGTGCGGGGCAGTGGCCGCGAAGTCGTGACCTTGAACGCCTGAAGTCCACAAGATGACCATCGTTTTATATAAATGCTGGGGCTAATACATGTACCCTGGGCGCCTTGATGCAAAGAAATTTCTAGTTAGTAGAGTAGTCGAATGACAATATTGTGTACGCAGCGAGATTGACTTGTTTGGCGCCAAAAAACAATGTGGTCAGCTTATTGCTGACGTTTCGTGTCTTGGATTTCAACCAATCGGCATGCCTCATCTCGAAAATGCCTCTCTGTGATTGGTGAGAAATCAGCTATAATCTGCTCTTTTGGCAGCAGGTCGTCGAACACCGAAGTCGATGGTGTCGAAGTTCGAAGTGAAAAACGCATTTCGATTGGCCAAAATGCTGAACCTCCCTCTTGTCCAGTAAATGAGGCCCTCCAGTTCGCGATTCCCCGAAGGCCGTGATAAGGATGCAACGCATTGCCATCGCTTCCCGCCAGGTACATGCGCCTGGAGGAGCCAAGGTTGACGTGTGTATGTACAAACTGTAGTTCAGCACTGAAGCTGCGTACTCGTTCGTCAAGAGCCGTCGCGCCTACAAGGCCGAAGTCTCGGAGCTCCGCAAGCTGTACATGCAGCAGGAAATGGCCCGCCGGGAAAAGCTCGCCCGCGATCAAGCGTACGTCGCATGCCTA